AACTTATAATTGTTTCCTGAGCTACCAGAAATAGTAGGTTGAGATAACCGAGTATTCATTTCATTATGCTAAAAAAATTAATTGTTACATTTTGTTTCAATGTGTAATGCTCTTTTAAAAATAGTAAAACATTTGTAGGTTCTTTCTACTAACAATTGAATAACCCCAAGTTTTATCACTGAAGTCGTAATACTTGCGAAATACTGCGAATAAAAGATAAGTGCAGCCCTCTTTTGTAACCAAATCACTAGGGAATAAAACGACATAAACATGTCATTGACTATCTCGCTCTCGCATTCATTGTTCGGTGGTAGCATTATGTCACCACGAGAAACAGATGTGGTACCTGCGCACGTGTCATAAGAAAGACTTGAAAGTGGCAATATCTCCAAAAATAGAAACCGTTTACATCATGTTGATTTTATATGATAGATCTGAAGCCAATGCTCCGATGTCACTCTGGCGTGTTATTTCTGGGACACCCTGTATAATACGATTGCATTGTTTATCGACACGTTACGTTTTCAAAATTATTCTTCATCCTGTACTTTCGAAACGAAAACGATTTAAGGGCAGAGAATTAGTCCTTGATTTTTTAATGAACACTTCAAAAAATAAGAATATTTGAAAATAAAGATCTGGAATGGTGGACTTGCTGCCAATAATAAACAAAGTCCTATAGGACTTTGGCAAAGAACTCCCTTTCTTTAGTTCGCACTTTTGCTACTACGTAGTAGATGCAAGCTCAGATACAACATGAATATAGTGCAATGGATGGCAAATCTTCAAATTTCATCCTGTTAAAAATATCGATTGTATTTCTTACAAAAAAATGTAAACAACTTTATATACGAGAGACAGTATATTAACACGTAATACAATCGGTATTTACGTGGATTAATCTCACTTTCTTGCAAGTTTTTGTACATCATACTGTGCTACTTGTTATGTATTTACATTTACTATAGACGATTTTTGAATGAATTATGAGGTTGCCGGGAGGTAACTCGCTGCAAAGTGTAAACAATTACAAACTACAAAACGTGGCCCGTACAAAGTTTTTTTAGATTCTTTGGATCATTGTGAATAAAAATAGTTAGACTCTAAAAACCTTAAAAATGTTCGGTGCTGTTGCAACTTGTAGAACTTCGGATTTCACTGTTTTTTCTCTTAAAACTTTTATAGGGTAGTCTGATAGATTATTTAGAAACAAAAAAAGTGTGGATGAAGCACGCTTTTCATGAATTTTTTTTTCCAAAACACTGTATTTTTTGCTGTTCTTTCCACCGCCATCTGCCATATAACGTGGACATCCGTGCATATGTCATTTATGTTTTTATTTTTTGTTTTTTATAATTATTTATAATTAATCATTTTTTAGCATACTACTGGTATTTTTTGATATACACTTATTAGGAATCGGCTTTCATTTTGCTACTCTTGTTTATTTCAGTTTTTCGTTTTTGTGTTTCATTAATTAGTATAAATGTATAGAAATTTCCCACTTTTCATATTTTTCCCCAAATACGGAGTCCAATCCGGCAACACCGCAGGACAGCGCCTCTCATATACGTCGTTGTATACGACATACCTACAGACGTCAACGTCATATGGTTGATGGTGGTGGTGGTAGAAATAACTGCTAAAAAATAGTGTTTTGGGAAAAAAATTTCATGAAAAGCGTGCTTCATCTACACTTTTTATGATTTAAAATAATCTATCAGACTACCCTCTATAAGTTTCGAGTGAAAACACAGTGAAATCCGAAGTTCTACAAGACGCAACAGTACCAAATGTTCTCATATGTTACTCAATTAAACTTCAAACCTTCTCCTACTTGGCGTATTTTTGAAATGCTGCTATTTCATTGTTAATAATAATAATGCGCATTGGAATACGCATTAGCGCCTCGCGTTACTTTAAGATATACTAATCTTAAAATACTCCTCAAACCTTTGAAGGAAAAGGTGCGAAATTTAACTTTTCAACTAATACGATAATTTGAACCCGCGTTTTAAAGCATTGAAGATCGATATTTCTTAAGGTTTCTCAGAACTTTAATCGTTTCTGACATGAAAACGTTTAGAGAAAAATTGCTAATAACTTTTGAACACAACAAAATAAGTCAATCTTGACATTACGAGCTCATAGCTAACACAGAAGTAGATGCTTAAAGCTTACCTAGTCTGCTGTAAATACATTCAGCTCAGCAGGATCAGAAAAATGCTCATATCCAACGTGAAGATACTCCACTCGCCTTTTAGGAACAACCACAACACATTTTCACACACAATTTCCACAAAATCACTCACAACACCATCGCGACACGACGACATTGCGGAAAATCGCCGACAAAGACTTCCCGGCACACAACGAGCGTTCCTCGGAGGGCTCGCCGCACCACGCTCCCCAAACGCCAACCGACAACTGAACAAGACGCGAGTTAGCCCGCAGGGTGTACTACGCCGGTACCGATATTCGTTCTGCGTCGTCATTGGTTGGAATTGAGTCAGGCGCTTTTCCACCACCAATCACTCTTGAGCATATACGTAAACATTAGAACATCAGAAAAAACGAATCACAAGTTTATCGCAAAAAAAGAAAAAAAAAAACAAATGGACAGATCATCCTACCTCAAAGCAACTTAAAATAAACGCATAAATTGTTCACGATTTTCCCAACAAATCGTTTTAAACGAAGCATTTAACTTTTTATTATTTTCAATATTCCTGATATTAGAAGGAATCAAATTGTAAAATTTAGGTGCAAGATATAATTGTGGGACACATAATTTGCATTTAATTTCTTATTTGCATGTACAAAAAAACTACATATATTGCAAGGATATATTTATAAGATTTTAATATTGTTAATTTCTTGCATAGTGGGATATAATCTAGTTTTTTTTAAGAATAATCCTTACAATATGGTTCTGCACCACTTTTAGCTGCCCAAGATTTGAACCGTACATCCCAACCCACACAAATATGCCATATACCAAAAAGGGCACCACAAGTGCTTTGTGATTCATCAATATTAGTTTAAGTTTCAGGATATTACGAAGAGTGTAGAATTTATGGATGAAAAATATATTTTTTTCTCAAGTACAGCACATGCTGGTCCCACTTCAAGTGCTGATCAACAACAACTCCCAAATATTCAATTTCATTTACTTCTTTCAAAGGCTCATCTATATTATCAGGCGTAATTTGATTAAATGCTGGTCTATTAGCCATTGTTATGGAGAAGGTAATGTAATGAGTTTTTTTATATTCAAAGTTAATTTAAATGTGTCTAGAAGGTTCTTAAGCATTCTAATGACGTTTCAGGTCTTTTTGTTATTTTAAACAATAACAATAGGGACCGTTGCCTTTGGCTCGTACGACTTGCGATTTCATTTTTCTGTTAGAAACGCTTCATTAATAGGGTGTCCATGCTGACAACACTGCTAATTCTACTCAATCTAAAGAATAGTTTTTTACTCTTGGCTTTGTCTAAGTATGGTATATTGTGAAACTAACGCCTCTAAGTCAAATTATATATATTAAGAAAGCTGAAACATTTTTTAACGGAAAGGAGCTACAGCTTCAGTTCACTGAAAATATTGGTCAATTATACATTGACACAGATCCTTTCAGAATAAAACAATCTGGTAAATAATCTTTTAATCAATTACGCTGATTAACGTTTTCCACAACACGTGAGAATAAAAAAAAACATGTTATATGCATAAGAAGCACTTTGCATACATACACTTACACATATACTTATTTTTTGTCAAATACCAAAAAGCAGACGAAGATATATACCAGATATAAAAAAAACCAAAAGCTTAAAAATTTTGAGATTTTCCAAAATATGTCTCATCAAAAATTGTTTAAAATAATGTAGAAATTAATATTATGTAATTAGAATGACTAGCTGGTACAGCTGTAATAACATTAATGTTAATAGTATTGTAAAATTATTATTATTGTAATGGCGAATAAACGTTCATTCATTCATTCATTCATTGGCAACACATCTTTAAAGATCAAGAAACTTAAATTTCCGTGAGGGAGGTTAAAATTCCCCCTATTTTTTTGATGAAAAGATTACTTTGTTGGAATAGTTTATTATATCTAATATTAACGTATTGTTTTGGCTTTGTTTCCCACTCTTTCCTATAAGCTTGCTGTCTATGTTTGACGTTCTTCAAAGATTCCGCTCCTTTTTTTCGAGAGTATCGCATCTTTTGTTGTGGTTCTCTCTTCCAGAGCAACTTGATCCGGAATCCGACATACACTTATTATCGTTATTGAATTGAAACCGGTTAAATATCGAAAATAACTGATAACGATCTTTTGATTTTCAAGTTTCAAAAGTCATATGGGTAAATAAAAATATGCGCGTCATTTCAATACATAGAACCATAGAACGTGAGAACTGATTGACGGCAATTTTTCCCGTTGATGTTAAAGCATCCCACAAACCGGCGCGAAATATTCGCTTTGGCTGCGAAAATTTCGCAGCGATGAATTCGCGATCAGATTAAAACGCGGCGGTTTACGGACAGGCTCAGACTTGTGCGAAGCGAATGCGATTGTTCCAGCGTTTTTATCGCGGCGTATTTCAGTTCGCCTTTGATCGCGTTTTTGACGCCGTTCTTCAAAAATTCGCAATGGCAACAACGGAATTATTGATAGAAATAGTGAAAAAGTATCCTTGTTTGTATGATTTGTCGAACGATGAATACAGGAATGTGAGAAAGAAAGACAAGATTTGGATGGAAATAGGAAAAGAATTAAATACAAATGGTATGTACCTAATATTTTTTATTAACTTGTTAAATAATTTACAGTCTACACAAATGTGAAAACGAACATTCTATATATTGGGCATAAGCATATCAGAATTAAAATAATTTACGAATTTGTCACGAGTAGAAAATGCTAGCGTTGCTGCCCGCCGAGGATCATTTGCTATATCAGTAAAAGCTCCAAGCACGGGTTCTGGGGGATCTAAGAATTGAAAATATTTGTCATCGCCACTTTTACTTCGTAAAAATTGTGTAAAATACATGCCGTACGTACAATTAGAATAGTAGTATCTACTTTAGTTTCTAATGGCCTGTAAAATATTCGCCATTTTTGAGACAAAATACCAAACGCATTTTCCACGACCCTTCTAGCTCGACAAAGTCTTAAATTGTATTTCTCTTTTCTGACGTCTGTTAAAGTCTGCTTATAAGGAAATGGTCTCATAAGGTATGGTTTTAAAGCAAATGCTTCATCACCAATTAAGACGTACGAGCAGATTTCATTTTGCCCAGGGAGAAATCTAGGTGCAGGGACACTCATTAAATTTTGTTCAAATCGTTTTCCCATGTTTGAGGTTTCGAAAATACCCCCATCACTATTTTTTCCGAAACCACCAATATCAACACATATAAATTTATAGTCCGGGCCAACAATGGCCATAAGTACTATTGAATATTTATGTAAATAGCACCAGTAATTGGAGCCACTGTTGTTAGGTCTCTTGATTGTTACATGCTTACCGTCCACGCTGCCAATGCAATTGGGAAATCCCCATCTATTTTCAAATTCTTCAGCACATTTTTTCCATATATTCTCTGTTGGTTCTGGTAAATATTTACGCTCCATATGTCTGCATATCGCTTCACAGACTTCGGTTACGATTGCACTCACTGTTGTAAAGCCAACTCGAAAGCTATGCCCAATGGTATAGAAGGTGTCACCAGTGGCAAGGAATCTATAAAAAAAATCGTTTTTAGGTGATGAAGTAAAAAAAAGTGGAAGAATATCAGAGACACATTTGCAAAATATATAAAATCTACCAAACCAAAGACCGGAGAAGCAGTGGGCAACATAAAAAAATGGCAGTGGGCTGACTACATGGAATTTTTCCGTCCTTTTTTGGCATTTGCCAAAACGTCGTCTAATGTGAAAGATATTGACGTCATATATTATGAGACTGCCGAATTTAACTCAAATATATATCAGGAAAGGGCTGAAAATGTAGAAACCGAAAATTTGGAAGACCGCGGCCATGGAGAAGATGAAAATGCTGATGTAGATACAGAAGATGCACAGAACGCCTCGGCAACACAGACAGCACCACCTTCTTCATTGAACACTACAGCAGTGACTACTCCAGGGCACACCTTTCCGCAGACTGCAACTACACCAAAATATAAAACGAGCAGAAAACGCTATGAACCACCATCTTCGTCTGTACAACAGCTCATTAATTATTTTGAGGGTAAAAAACCTAAAAAAGAGAACGAGGCCATTGATTCACTTTTCTTGGCACATGCACAGACTGTGAAAACACTTCCCTTAAAGCGTCAAGCCCGAATAAAACTAAAAATAGCCGAATTAATAGCGCACGAAGAATTTGAACATATTGAAGAAATGTCATCAGCGTCTACCCAGAATTCTGCAAGCATGTATGATAGTAGTATGTCGTCCTTCCCAAGCGGCACTGGGTTTACTCCAATAATATACCCAACAGAGGAGGCAAATTCTGCCTCGAATTATTTAGCAACATTTAATCCTAGTGGCAACATGTAGTCCAATTATTACAATAAAATATTTATTTCACGATCCCTGAAGTTTTCGTATTCGATAAGCCTACTAATTTTAATACATATAATTTTTTTACCTGAGTGTAATAGCAAGTCGTTCTTCTGGCGAAATAGCTTCACGATAATTTGTGTCAGATTTTCGTATTTCATCTTTCACCAAGTTCAATAATTCATCGAAACACTCTGGAGTCATTCTAAAATATACGTAAAAGCGCTGTTCATCCAGCCGAAGTTGTGGCATCAAGGTATGGTATTCCCCAAATTTATTTCGTTCCAAGTTAATATCATGTACCCACTTCCTTCGTTTCCTAAACAAAATTGAAAATATTTGTTTTATGTACTTCGTTAAACTTAATACATACCCAACTATCAAATGGCGTTAAATAAACATAACTTACCGTGCATTTTGTTCCTCTTCTAAAGCAAGAAATAGAAGTGCCTCCTCTTCTTCTGAAGACGAGCTCATTGCAAAAGGCAAAAATAAAATGTACGCAACCTGTCGAAACCTTCACGTTCGCGGAGCGAATAAAACGCTTTGGTATGAATAAACAGGCGAAACAGATTGCGAATTTCGCTCTGAATTTCGTTGCAAATACTTCGCCGCGATTATTTCGCGCCGGTTTGTGGGATGCTTTACCGAGATAGTTCGCGTAATGCTAGGCAACCCATTATACAGAGTGGGGTACGCGCGCTTGCCTACCAAGCGGCTACACTGTCAGCTGCTTGCTGGTGTTAATTGAACGTAGTTGTTACGATTGATTCAAGATCTGTGAGCGAAAAAGCTCGTTCGCAAAATTATCGTACATTCAGCTATTATCCTACACATAGTATCGTAAATCGTACAGTACTTGAAATTATTGTACAGAAACGACAATTATCATACGACTGGCAACGCTGACCACAATGGTGGACTTTGTGGTGGGTGCCGATATGCAGCGCCATCTACTGGACAATAGCAGAATGAAAAATATATCCATCAGTACACCTTTCTTAAATGATTTTAAGCTAATTCTGTCCATTTTCAACTAGACATCGTTGTTTTGGCTTTGCTGAAAAATAAAGCGTCCTCCTTGCATGCATTGTGGCTTACTGAACGGATTTAAAATAAATAAATAAAAAAATGTTTATTCGCCATTACAATAATAATAATTTTACAATATTGAAATTAATATTATTACAGCTGTACTTTCTACTAGCTACTTATCCTAATTACATAATATTAATTTCTACATTATTTTAAACAATTTTTGATGAGACAATTTTCGGCAAATCTCGAAATTTTTAAGCATTTGGGATTTTATATATTTGCTATATATTTTCGTCTGTTTTTTGGTATTTGAGATAGAATGTGAGCGTTTTTTACGAGAATTTGGGATATTTACAAAAAATAAGTATACAGGGTGGCCCATCCATGTGTGGACGGAATATTACTCATAAACAAATACATTTTGGGAACACCTATTTATGAGATGTTATACATGACATTTGAGGGCACATTTCTAAAATATTCGCCATTATACAGGGTGTCCTAATTTCGACCTACATATCAAAGTTGTGATTTTTCAACTGGAATGCCTCAAATTTTACAAAAAGGGGATGATAGTCTCGCATACCCAGAGCTTGCCAATTTTGTTCAAATTTTATTTACATTGCCACACAGCAGCGCAAGTGTGGAAAGATTTTTTTTACATTAATTAAAACAAAACAAAATTGCGTAATCGGCTGGGTGCTACGACAATAAGTGCAATTTTGCACAGCAAAATACCAATTAATACCGGAGATAAAAGATGCTTTAATTTCAAGGGACATTATAAAAAAAATAATATGTACTCGTAAGAATGTCATTCTTTTTAAATTTGTTTATTTTAATGTAGTTTTAAATGGGTTATATTTATACTAAGTGACATATAAATCCGAACACCCAGTTTAAATGGTTTTATTTTAATAAAATTTTGTATAAGTACTTAATGAAGCATAATGAGTAAATGATAAAAATTTCAAAATGATTGCACTGCTTTAAAGCCCTTTGACCTTTAATAATGTGTGGATGCACCCTGATGTGCTACGCATTCTCCAACGCGCCTAGGCATGCTTCTGATCAGGTGGTCAATGTGCTCCTGTGGTATCTCATTCCAGGCAACCACCAACTCCTCTCGAAGTGCTGCTAGAGTCTGAGAAGGACGTTGCAAATTGAGCAATCTCCCACCCATCATATCCCACTCGTGCTCAATTGGGGATAAGTCGGGAGATCTTGGTGGCCAGGGTAACAATGTGACATCATTATGTTGAAAGAAGTCTATTGTGACTCTTGCAACATGTGGTCGGGCATTATCTTGTTGGAAAGTTGGATCTGCCAGGGTGTCAAGATAGGGTAAAAGATGGGGTTCTAGAACTTCGTGGATATAACGCTGTGCGTTCATGTTACCTCTGATGAAGATTAAAGGTGACCTGGAACCATAAGCTATAGCACCCCAAACCATAACTCCAACAGTGTGATGAACATGTCTTTCAACAAAAAACTGTGGATTCCTCCTTTCACCACGTCGCCTTCTAACTCTGGCACGACCATCGTGCATGCCTAAACAAAATCGAGACTCGTCACTAAAGACAATACTGTTCCATTCCTGATCCCAGAGTGACCGTTGTCTGCACCACTCAAGGCGATTACGTCGGTGTTCTCGAGTTAAAGGGAGGACCCAGTGTGGCCGGTATGAAAACAAGCCAAAACTTCTCATTCGTCGGTAAACACTTCGCATGCCAATAGGTCTTCCATGTTCTGCAAACCATTCATTTGCAATGGACCTGGTAGTGGAGAAACGGTCCCTTAAGGCCAATAATCTTAGGCGGCGATCTTCACGGTCTGTTGTTCTACGGCGGCGTCCAGTGCCCCTTGCTCTTTGCGTACGGCCTTCTCGAAGCCATGCCTGACAACACCTAACCACAGTGTCTACACTTCTTTGCACTCTAACTGCAATTGCCCGAAAAGAAAGTCCAGCTTCCCGAAGTCCCACTATACGGCCCCTATCAAACTCACTAAGTTGACGAAATCGTACAGCTCTCCGTACTCTAGGCATCGTAACCGATCGTAAAGGATGTCAAGAACCAAAATCCGCCAACGTTGATTCTTTACTGCGGCTGAAATATTCATTTTTAGAGCGTTAGTGAATTAAAAAAAAGCAGTATAAAAACCGGAATGTCCAACTGATAAGGCTGAACATTTTTTCACTTGTTATTTACAGTAAGATAAATACATTCACCAACTTTTATTAAAATAAAACCATTTAAACTGGGTGTTCGGATTTATATGTCACTTAGTATAATTTCTTTTTTATTGTTAACGTTTTTAAGCTTTACATTTTTGTTGTTTGTTTTAAGAGTGTTTTAAGAAACTTTTAACATAATAATATGTGCTCGAAAGAAAGTCATTCTTTTTAAGCTTTACATTTTTGTTGTTTGTTTTAAGAGTGTTTTAAGAAACTTTTAACATAATAATGTGCTCGAAAGAAAGTCATTCTTTTTAAATTCGTTTAGGTTAATGTAGTTTTAAGTAAGTTATATTTAATTTCATGTTTTATTAATTTTGTCTGTTTATATTTATGGTTTCTTTTAAGTGTCTGTTCTAATGTACGGTTTTGTTGTTTGTTTTTAAAAGTAAAGCCTTAAAAATTAAAACCGGGGATCAAAGGTCAAATCTATTGTTGTCCCATTAATGCATCTTCTTGGACGCAAGGACACAGATGCGTGCGCTTCCCAAGAAGCCCAAGACTGACAATTTTTTAGATGGGTACTGACCGAAACTGCTCATTTATGATCATGGAGGCAGAAACCTTGCTTTGGACTGTACGAGATGCGGTGTTGCCAAGCGAACAAATGGTGCAATGTTGCAGAATTTGTGGCGATCCTGACCTTTCATTTCGACCTTAGGTCCGATCCGGAATCGGTCCTAAACAGATTCGACACACTTCATGTCAAGAAATAAACGTGGGAGGAGCTGTCAGACATTTCTAAGGAAAATGTTTCGAGCAGTGAAAGCACCGGTGCGACAAGTGTATTAGTTGTAGTGGACAGTATTTTGAAGGAGATAAGGTTACTTTGTGAAAAAGTTGAAAATAATTCCGGATTTTTTGGTTACTCCCTCGTATACTTCTCTCTCGTACACATTGAACTCAAACCACCAGATAAATCTGGTTTTCAGTGTATTGGCGATTGGAACAGTAATGATATAGGTTTGGTGTTTGGTGTGGGAATAAATACTATTTCTGGTAGTTACATGTTTATTCTCACTCAACCTCCAATAGAATTAAATAATAAGTAATCCAACATATTTACAACGGGCGTGTAGTTGTCATTTAGATGACTAGGAGTCATCGGCCCGTACAGCAGCAAGCAGAGATGAGTTTGTGTTCTGAGCAGCTGTTCGCGTGGAGGAAACTGCAATCTGCATAATAACATTGGTGGGGTACAACAGCTGAAAATAGAATGATCTCAGCTATTTTGCAAAGTTTCGAGTTAAAATTCCAATCATTTAATATGTATCAGTAGACTTAAAACTTGTAAAAGTATGGTCATTACAGCACTCCTAGTCAGTGTTGCATTTTCAATGTCATTCAGTATCATATCGATGTAACTGGATTCAAATTTAGTATTAACAGTAAAATAAAGTACATATAGAACTGACCACTCTTATTTTCGGTCTTTTTCTACCAAATGTGGAAACCTTGTAAAAATGCATGATCCAAAAAAATTGCAATTAAATGAATACAATATACAGAGAGTACAGATAAGGATCCTATGTATGAGGATCTCAGTACCCGTGGGAGATTCTTAGGCTAAACCACTGATTCCCAAAGTGGTCTATATCGACCCCTAGGGGTCTATGACAACCTGCAAAGGGGCTACGTCAGCGAAAAAAAATTTGGGGGTCCATGAAATGAATATGGGGGTCCACGATAGTGGATCTCAACACATACACTGATAGTACCTATTTACTTACATCATACTATCTTATAATATTAAAACATATACATTATTTATAAAAGTACCTATGAAGTAAAAAATTTATTATATATGTTTATAAAATTGTGTAAGTTGTAGGATGTTGGTATTCGCTTTGTGGTCGCAATACATTTTGAACTTGTAAAAACCTGAGAGTCGCAGTCTCAGAGCTTCGCTACCTTGCACTGACTTGTTCAATTCGTCACTCTATAAATACGAATGTGGGAAATACGTTTATTCGTTTCCTGAATCTTGAAAAGGAAAGTGCTAAGAAAATATTAAAAGAATATAAACAGATAGTATATCACACAAATTATACGTATAGTGAGTCAGTGTTATTTTGTTTGAGAGTGCTGGCGAAAAGTAAGTACATTATTTTTTATTAAATTTTAGTTTTGTACTCGTAGTTAGCAAAGATAGATAAATTACGCCAATCATGACTAGTTATTAGTAGTTAAATATTCAATCATGCAAAATTACACGAGTACTCCTCAATAGTTTCTTTTTGAAAGTTTTAGCAATCGGTACTATAATTACAGTGCAATCTCCGTAATTCGAGCTAATTTTTGCAAGAAGATGTTCGAATTATGGAATGTTTTCGGAAAAATCAAAAAATACTTTTAATATACAGCTGCTGGATTTTCTGTCTTATTTAAATAATTTAATTTTGCCCACAGATGACTGATGCCATGTCCGAATCTAAAAAGAAATGTAGACAGTACAGCAACAATACTGTTGAAAGACGTATTGATGAAATGAGTTCTGATATTGAAAGCTTCTTATGCAATTATTTGCAAACGACCCATTTCTCTATACAACTGGACGAGTCAACTTTACCTGATAATGCAGCATTATTATTGGCATATGTTTGTTTTATTATGAATCAAGAAATCTACGAAGAACTGCTCTTCGCAAGAACTTTGATAACCGACACTAAAGGTGAATCAATATTTCATGTTTTGAAGAATTACTTCATTGAAAAAGCAATTCCTTTATCAGATATAGTATCAGTAGCTACAGATGGAGCACCTGCCATGGTTGGACGTTATCCTGGATTTATAAGCTATTTAAAACAAAATGTGTCAGGGGTGTCATCCATCGACAACATTTAGTTGCTAAAAATTTGAGTGTTAGATTGCATGAATCACTTCATTTAGTCATTGATGCAGTAAACCGAATCAGAAGCAACGCGTTGAATACGCGGTTATTTGCGCAGTTGTGTAAAGAAAATGACGAACACTTTCATCAATTACTCCTTCACACTGAAGTACGCGGGCTGTCGAAAGGCTTATGTTTGACAAGATTTTTTCCACTTTTTGAGAGTATTTTAGAATTTCTGGATACTAAAGGTAAAATTTTAAAAGAAAATTTAATGAAGAGTAAAACAGACATCGTCTATTTAACAGATTTGTTTACAAAATTTAATATGGTTAATTTGCAATTACAAGGCGACAGTTTAAATTTGATTAAAACAAAGTCCATCTTATCAGCGTTTCTTGCCAGAGTTAAACTAATGAAGCAAAATATTGGACGGGGCGAATTTTCTCAGTTCCCCAATTTGTCACAGACAAGCTGCCAGGAAGACGACGTTTCAACTTACGTTCAACATTTAAATGCCCTCTATTCAGATTTTGAATCTAGGTTTGAGGATATTTTGACTATGGTAATACCACCGTGGATAATTAATCCATATGGTGACATAGAAGAAACGAATGTCATAATACAAGAGGAACTGACTGAACTAAGTACAAACGAAGAACTTAAGGTTCAGTTTAAAAACGGATATCAGCAATTGTGGCTGCAAAACAACATACCCGTTACTTATCCCGTATTATGGAATATAGCGAGGAAATTTTTAATTTCCTTTCCATCGTCATACCTAGTGGAAAGGGGGTTCAGCGCTGTTACCAATCTCCTAACAAAAAAAAAGAAACAGACTGGACATCATTAGCCGAGGAGATTTAAGATTAACCCTTACAAAATTGACGCCAAATGTTGATAATTTATTATTAAAGCATCAGGTTCATCCTTCTCACTAAAAATATTGACTTATTGCTTATGTTATTTTATTTATAGTTTATTTTATGTTTATTGGTGTCTGACCAATAAATGCCCGCATTGTGAATAAGTGCCCGCATTGATTTTTTTAAAGAACCCCCCTTTATAGAAAATATTTTTTTTTAAATTATTCTGAAAATTCAAGGATAGGTACACACTAAAATTCGTTAATTTTTTGTCTATTTTAAGATAACTAACGTATAAGAAGCGGAATTTAATCAAACAATTATTGTAGAACATACGTTTATGTTATAATTAATAAACGAACTCGCTTATTGTACTATTTTAAGTAAACAACTTTTTTTTATTATTTTTCACTTTTTTTTTATCCCATCCCTCTTATTTTTTTTCAATGCGGGCACTTATTTCCAATGCGGGCACTTATTGGTCAGACACCTGCTTATTTAATGTTACGTATATTTTACATAACAGATACAAAATTTTATTTTGAGTTGTTTTAATTTAAATCAATTAATAAATGTATAAATTAACATGTGTTTTTACTTTAAGTTTCTTACACTAAACTTCACTACAGTTAGAAATTTACAGGAAATCAATATCAGGTAAGTAGGGGGTCTACCCAACTCAGAAAAACATGGCAAGGGGTCTACGACACAAAAAAGTTTGGGGAACTCTGGGCTAAACCAAGGAAAAGTTATAGTACGTTCTTTGATAGATATCACCCTTATAAATTCAGGATTTGCCAAGGACTCAGCGAACGTCTGCAACATTTTGGTGAATAGTACACATGAACGTGTGAAGAAGATTTTAATTTCCCTTCAAAAGTAAAATTGTTCGACGAGAGTATGGTAACTAATAATGGTATCTTGAATTTGAGTATTAAAAAGTATAAAATAAAATTTTCAAAAATATGCCTTTGTATAGCGGTTGTTAAAAACAACTAACATTTGAAAATATTTTTTTCTACCAGCGTGCGGAAAGTACTCACTTTTCATAATCCAAATAAATGTTCTTTTACTTTCAATATTGTTAATAATTATTATAAATGAATTATTGATGTTGTTGTTGATTTTACAATTATAAAATTAGTAATGAAACATAGTACATATTTAAAATTCTAGGTTTATTATCACGCTGCCTTGTTAGAAAACATCATCTTATACCTAACATTTGCAAAAAGTGTATTTTTCTCACTTGTTAGGTAAATAGGAAATATGCAGTTTTACACTTTTTAACCCTTAAAGCTCCCTCATCTCAAGTTTTCATATAAAAGGGCGTTACATCGCTTTTCCCTATTGCTGTTAAAATCAAACACTTTTTTTTAAAACATGCCGAAGGAGCTCTGTTAGCATTTAAATTTAAATGCTACGAAGTATAATACGGCATATTTCCAATCGGGCTAAGTTATTTTTATATTTTTAATTGCTTTTAAAAAATGTTTTGTTTTCTCTATACAGGGCGTTTCAGTTTATTGTCGCATAACTTTAAGATTCGATAGAACTTTTAAAATTAATGCATAAAGTCTTTATAAACATGGGTCGAAAAATGCGTGGCTTCCGAAATACAGGGTGTTTAAATTTACTTTCTAAAATAGTTTTTTTTAAATATTTCGAACAATATTTGATGTATAACAGTGAAAATTGGTATACAAGGGTTTTTTGGTACGGCAAAACGAACCATGGGCTTAGTTTTACTGTAGCCGCTAGAGGGCGCTCTCTACTGTACCTGTAGTGTATTAAAATGACCGAAAATTTTTTTTTGGTGCAATTTTTTGCTTTTTGAATAAAAAAACTGATTCTTCGCACTTTTCAACATAAAAAAGCTCTCTTGTGAATTTTCGTTATAGTTATCCGTTTTTGAGATATTTCGATTTTTAAGGTTCGATGCATTTTTAACTATTTATGATAAAATAACGTTAAAAAGTCAGTATCTCGATAATTTTTAGAAGTAGGCTGTGCCTGCAAATATTTTTGAAATTGAAAGCAGAATAAGGTTAAACGTCAATTAGTTGACAGTTAGTTTTGTTGTCTGTTGAAACCTGAAACGTTTTTTTGCAATTGTGAATGCACGAAATTTAGTTTCTTTTACCTGATTTTTTTTGTAAGTTTTATAAAAATGCCATTTTTATTCTCCAATCACGAGTTAGCGGATATTCATTTTGTGTATGGCTTTGTAAATGGAAACGCAGCAGAAGCAGCCAGAGAATACGCACGAAGATTTCCAAACAGACGACATCCAACTCGCTCAGTATTTGTAAGAGTGCATCGCCAAATAATTGAAAATGGTTTTGGAAATCTCCAAAGGGATCAAAACATAAATGTTCGTGAGCGCAGATTTACCCGTAAGATTCTGCGTGAGTTTGATAGAGATCCGACCACAAGTGTTAGGAGAGTTTCTGGTGCCTTGGGAATTTCAGCAAGCCATGTTCACCGTGTTCTTAGAAATGACCATAGACGTCCTTACCATTTGCAACCTGTGCAAGGACTACAGCCAGGGGACGGAGAACGAAGAATCACATTTTGTCAGTGGATTCTTGATAGAACTGATAATAATAGGGAGTTTTTAAGTAACGTTTCATGGACCGACGAGTCATGCTTCACTAGACGTGGAGTGGTAAATTTTCATAATCAACATATTTGGTCGCATGCAAATCCGCATGCAGTACGGGAAAGAAATTTTCAGCATGAATTTAGTGTGAACGTGTGGATTGGTATCTAACGTAATCGACTATTTGGACCCTACTTTTTGCCTGCAAGGTTAAATGCTGCGACCTTCTTGGAATTCTTAAAGGCTGAACATGCAAATATGTGGGATGATGTTATGTTAGATTTAAGAAGATTGGCCTGGTTCCAGCTTGATGGTTGTCCAGCTCATTATTCGAGAATAGTTAGAAACTGGCTGGACGAAAATTATCCAGAAAGATGGATCGGCCGTGGAGGACCAGTCGCCTGGCCTCCACGATCCCCTGACCTAAATCCATTAGATTTATTTGTGTGGGGATTTCTAAAAGAAAAAGTGTACCAGACTCCCGTAACCACAAGAGATATGCTAATAGACAGAATCAGGAATGCATGTGATGAAATAAGGCGTTATTTGAATAATGCTATACCACGTTCGATCATTCGTAGATGTGAATTGTGTATTGAACAATTGGGTTTACATTTCGAGCAACTACTTTAGTTTTTGTATGTTTGTCCTAACTATCTAATAGCATTTTAGTTGTAAATAATTAATTTAGTTTGTTAAAAATAATATTGGAAAATTAAACAAATTAATATTCTGTTTTTTTGTGTTTATTTGGAGTTAGGAATTATTGCTGTGTTTAAAAACACAATCTAAACGATCATCTTAATTACTTGTAATGCCCAAATCGAAAATGTAAAAAAAATATTAGTTTCCCATAAATAATTAAAAATGCATCGAACCTTAAAAATGGAAATATCTCAAAAACGGCTAACTATAACGAAAACTCACAGGAGAGCTTTTTTATGTTCAAAAGTATTATTCAAAACTACTAAGAAAAATTTTTCTACACTACAGGTACAGTAGAGAGCGCCCTCTAGCGGCTACAGTAAAACTATGCCCATGGTTCGTTTTGTCGTACCAAAAAACCCTTGTATACCAATTTTCACTGTTATACATCAAATATTGTTCGAAATATTTAAAAAAAACTATTTTAGAAAGTAAATTTAAACACCCTGTATTTCGGAAGCCACGCATTTTTCGACCCATGTTTATATAGACTTTATGCATTAATTTTAAAATTTCTATCGAATCTTAAAGTTATGCAACAATAAACTAAAACACCCTGTATATGTTGTATTTTTCTAAGTACGGTGACGCCTAGAAAAGCGTTCTGTATCTGGGATTTTTTTAATTTGCGAGCTAACTTGACTCATGGGCCATTTTTTCGCACAAGATGATCAGACAAATGAAAGTATACGTACTATTAAAAGACTAACAACTGATCCAACCAAAGTACCACACATTAACTGTTTGCCAAATTTGAATAAACGATTAGATAGTAGTAAAAAAACGCTAAGATTTTACATGGCAGTGGTCGAGAATATCAAACAATCTGTGTAATAACATTCTTATTTTTTGAAATTTTCAATCTTCCACTATTTCTTTTATTATGCAGCGCATCGAAAACGAAACAGACGCATTTACTGGCAGCTCAGTTTTTTTTTGGAAAAACGCTCAGACCTGTCGATTTCGTTTTCGAGGGGGACACAAGTTTGGCAAAAATCACGTTAACACGTGCAGCCCCCTGGGCGGGGGTGACACCAACCCTAAAATCTTAAATGGAAAGGGGGTCGAGTGATACCTTATTTTAAAGGTCTTTCAATTTCCTTTATAATGATGTAAAATACATGAGCTTCAGTTCAGTAGTTTTGAAGATTTATTGATTTAAAGCTTAAAGTAGACTTTCAGAAGAAATTTGACTAAAAGAATTTACTTAATAAGTAAATGCTTTTCTTCACTATGCCCATGGTTTGTTGTTGAAAATAGCTATTTTAAGTAGGAATTTAGTACATAGCAGAAAGAGTTGAATTTATCGAAATATTTTTCGGAAATAATCAGTGCGCTAATAGAACAGCAGAAATATTTAATGAACGACATGAGAACAGTAACGTGCATCGAAAATATGTTCTAGAACTTGTAGCTAAATTTCGAGAAACTGGGTCAGTCGCCAATAAAAAACGCAACATTGAAAATCCCATAAGGAACGAAGCAAAAGAAGTGGGGGTTTTAGGGCAAGTTTATGTAGATCCTACGTTAAGTACCCGCAAATTGGAGACTGTGTGTGGTATTAGTCGACGTACTGTCCAACAGATTCTAAAGGCCCATAGTTTTCATCCGTATAAAATTCACCTGGTACAAGAACTTAATGAAGACGATTTTGATCGACGATTACAATTTTGTGAAGATATGAGAGAACGAATTATAAACAATGAGCATTTTCTATTCAACACTTGCTTTTCCGATGAATGTTCCTTTTTCTTAAATGGCGTAGTAAGTCGTCATAACTGCCGATATTGGCCCGATTCTAATCCCAGAATTTATCATGATGTTCATACACAGCAGCCACAAAAATTAAATGTTTGGGCTGGTATTTTTGGCGATCATTTAGTTGGTCCTTTTTTCTCACCTGGAAATTTAACCGGTGAAATGTATTTGGAATTACTCCATAGATCCTGCATTAACAGCCATAATTGAAAACCACAATGATCGGCGGTACATTGCGAATAGGTTGATGTTCCAACAGGACGGTGCCCCACCACATTACGCATTACGTGTTCTACAATATTTAGATCAGACGTTTCCAGATCGATGTATTGGTAGAAGAGGTGCCATTGAATGGCCCCCAAGTTCGCCAGATTTACCACCTTTGGATTTCTTTATGTGGAGTCATTTAAAAAGCAAAATCTATGCTACTCAGCCAACATCATTAGAAGACCTGCGACAAAGAATTGTGAATGAGTGCCTTCAAATTACTGAGCGTTTTTAAAAAAAAACTGAGCTGCCAGGAAATGCGTCTGTTTCGTTTTCGATGCGCCACCCTGTATAGGTGATTTATGGTATATCCTACAAGCAGTTAAAGTAAATGACTCAAATTTGAAAACGCCCTGTATATTTAATATTCTACTCACCATATGGGTTATTGGTATTCCGGCAACAGCAGGAATCATGCAGTAACTTTTCTGAGCAGTAACTGTAAACGGATGAATCGCATAGTGGGCATTGTCTCCGGAACAGATTTCCGAGGAATGGGATGTCGATGAGATTGAAGAGGCTTGGTGATACTCCGGTGTCTACATCGTTTCCATAAACTAAACGATAAACAACAAAAACAGTGATAATATTTCTAGAGCGGATAGTACTTTTGAGAACGACTCTGAAGGTTCCTATAGCCGAAATCACGAAAGATGACGATTACGTCATCATTTTAGTCTGTAGTATAGTCAAACGACAGCGATTGGTGAATATTTTTAATGAAGTTTCAGATATGTTAGAGCGAGACAAACATAATTTTATTGTTTAAACAAACTATATTGCTAATTTGCATATATCCACAAAGATAGGCGATGTTTTCATGTTGCTTGAAAGATGAACAGTTAGGTTATGTTGTTTTCGAATAATACTTTGGTCTTTGGTGTTCCTGTCGTAAGGCATGAACTTGAAATGAAATCATTCCCTCACCCATTATAAATATCCACACCTCACCATTTGATATTGTTGAACGCAGCTGTTATGTTTTTAAAACTTGGCAATACTGCACTATATTAGAAAGTGAGGGAATGATTTTTGCATATATAAAATTGTGGTTTGGGTGTTATTGTTCAACTCCAGGTTGTATAGCATGTGTTTTTAATTTTAACAGATATCTGTATATCAAGAATGGGGAAAATGAAGAAGTGAAGAAGAAAAGAAATTAAAAAAGAAGGAGTGCGACAGAAAGAGGCAAGAACAAATGAAAATTAATGCTGAGTCTTTAGAAGCTTTGCGTGAACAAGAAAGATTAAAGTATTTAAAGAAGAAGAGTAAAGATCAAGTTAATTCAATAAGTTCCATGAGTGCAAGAGAAGCTAGCCAAACACGAAAACAACGGAAAAATAATAGTAAAGTTTATATTGAAAAGAGAGAGTTACCTTACAAACAAATTTACAGAGAATAGTTGAAGAAACACCCCCACCAAGTCCTGCACCATCTTTACAGTACAGAGAATTTGACTGCTCTCAATAGACGTAGAATGCGCAAGCGGGAACTATTCTATACGCGAAGATTAAAAGTTTGGAAAGTAAAGTAAAGAACGCAGTCAAGAAGAGGTGTTTGAGATTGAAAACTAAAAATACTGACCCAAACTCTCCAGCAACTAAAGTGTCTTAGCTTTTAAATAATATACAAGTTCCTGAAGTTGTAAGAAAAATACTTGGAAGTAAACATGGAGAAGAGAAAAAATATTACAAAATCTCGAAGCTGCAATTAGTACAAAAGGTAACAAATTGCTATAAACAGGGTGTCCGCAAAGTTGGGGTTTTCCTTTTCAGAAACAAGTACCCTTGAAATAACAAAGGTAATGTGTAGTGAAACGAGGGCGACCAAGTAAAAAAAAAAATAAAGGAAAAAGTACTCACTCTCCAGTTGACGAGAAGGGCTAAGTACGTCTCTGCCCGAAATCATACCGCTCCAACAGAAAATGAAATCAGCTGATGCGCTACCGAGCAGACGCAGGCAAACAAGGAAGGCAAAATGTTGCGTAAAACGTCTAGGTATTGCATCCCGTCTAATCGATTTGGGAGAATAAATGGTCCAATGAGCATACCGTTCACCATGCCAGCCCAAACATTCACCGAAAATGTTTGTTGAAAATGTGCCCGACGGACAGCGTGCGGATTTTCTACTGACCAAACATGAGTGTTGCGAAAGTTATTCACCCCATTACGCGTGAACGTAGATTCATCTGTGACCAATATGCACTTCAAAAAGTCCGGATTATTGTCATGTTGACTCAACAACCACTCACAAGACCGCACTCTTGCTGGAAAATCGTCAGGTTGAAGGGCTTGTACACGTTGGACGTGAAACGGATACAGCCCCTCTTCACGCAGCGTTTGCCACTCTTTAGTTTTTGATACTTGCACTTCTCTAGCCACGTCTCTAGTGCTTGTTGAGGGATTCTCGTCTACGCGATTACCTCTACACGCGTGACCGTAACCGTCGGTTGAAGGTTGCATACTGACCTGACACACTGACCCCGACCCAGTTCTGTCGTCGGGTTGAGCCAGTGACCTTGTACCAGTCCGTGATGTCGCGGCTACAGGACGGTATTCAGATATTTTTGATGTTGCAGAGTCCTTTATCTCGGTTCCCTCAAGACATTGGTGTATATGGTACTAAGAAAAATTGCTTATGTTTTCAAGATCTACACGTCGTGTAAAGGAAAACCCCAACTTTGCGGACACCCTGTATATCCAATCATTTTTTCAAAAACGATACGTACAAAAGAACTGTACTCGTAAAGTTAGCTCTAAAATGCTAAAACTTAAGGGTGATGTTGTTCATTTCTTGGAGAAGGATTAAAATACGAGGATGTGACCAGGGAAGAATCACTATCTAAGCTCTCTAAGGTATAAAACAAATCTCAATACTTCTACTAATAAATTAACTTATGTTTTTTTATTGAAATTCAGCATCAAATTGTTGTAAAAATAATTTCCCCTCCTATCAGTCATTCCCTCGTTTCATAGTTTCTTAAAAGTCATTTTTCTACACGTTATACACAACAATATGGAGGAGCTTCATTATCGATGAACCTCACTAAAGTAAAACATAATATTTCTGCAAAAAAAGTATATACTTTCATTATTTTTTTTAAGACATGCAAAATGAAATTTCTAATTTTTTTGAGAAATACCCAATTATTGATGCATAATAAATACGCAGATATCCACTTCGTTAGCGAAATCCCAAATGCGAGGTTCGAATTTGAAACACACCTAACATGTGACATGCCTCAATCGTCTTTTGTTTTCCAGCAACCCGCCTCAACTTTCATTTTTCTTATCGCCTCCATATTGAATTTTTTGATATTTGAAAATACTGTAAAATTTCCAGTCTAGTGATGTCTCACAAGTGCATAAAAGGTTGGGGTATCACCGAAATAACATGACACGTAATGTTACGTATTAGTTTTTCTTCTAAGGAGGCCATGATTTATTTGTCAGAAAATCACATTAATGAGTAAGGAATAAAAAAGATCGCTCTCTGGATTGCATCTATTTATCTCTGTCGAACCTTTTCAATTTTTGATTCGGATCCAAACATGTGTTTTGCGCGTTATGTTGGTACACAAATACTTTATATTTATTATTCAGGTGTGAAATGTTGTCAAATTGTTGTTGATTTTTTTAATGATCAAGCAGATAAGAAAGTCTCAATACAGAAGCCATTAATCATCTGCAGATTGTTTGAAAGACATTATTTCCAGAACAAGGTCTAGAGAGATTGAATTGTGTGAGCATAACCTTTGCTAAAAAAAACGGCGTCAAGTAGATGGACTCTATACTTCCTCCTCTTCCTCCGATAATATTCGAACTTCGGTTCACAAGTTTGCTGTTGCCTAAGGATATCTGCATTACACAAGTCCGTGTTTCTCATTTATGTCGGTTTGCCAGTTCATGTCTGTTGTATGACAAAAAGTCATAAGTACTGAGTCGATTTACTTGACGAAATATTCAGAGATCCATCATACCACGAACTAAAGGTTAGGCAGTACATTTATAGGAATCAAAAGATTACGATTTAATGGAAAAAAACATATTTCTTATTTTTTTCTAAAAAAAATCGTCTTATTTGCAACAGTGCAAAAGATTTTTACCTCGGAATAAAAATCGACGAGTTCAAGCAAATTTTTTCCAGTGCTCTGATCGGAATAAAGAATTAGTCGCAAAGAAATGGCTGATTTGTAGCCAATACGATTATTGTTTGCAAAATATAGCTGCAAAATGCAAATAAATGACAAACATATTAACTCCACCAATACAAATCGTTTATTTCAGCCCACTTCTCTAGCAAAACAGAAAAAACTCGTTGGAACGCTCTTATCAGTAACCAGAAATAGTCCCACAAAAAATGTTTGACGCTGATTGGTCAACCAATACGATTATCGCCTGCAGAATATTCTAGGGACAATCTGCTAGGTGTATGGCTTGTAGGCGGGTCTTGGGATGGGATTTTCAAAATACGCTGACAGTGGATATTCTGGTACTTTGACAGTTGATTATCAATTAGTATGTCTACAAATCTTTTCTTCTTTCTGTATTGTGGTTCATACGTGATGCTGAGAGAGACTGGACATATACTAAGTGACATATAAATCCGAACACCCAGTTTAAATGGTTTTATTTTATTAAAAGTTGGTGAATGTATTTATCATACTTTAAATAACAAGTGAAAAAATGTTCAGCCTTATCAGTTGCACATTCCGGTTTTTACACTGCTTTTTTTTAATTCACTAACGCTCTAAAAATGAATAATTCAGCCGCAGTAAAGAATCAACGTTGGCGGATTTTGGTTCTTGACATCCTTTACGATCGGTTACGATGCCTAGAGTACGGAGACCTGTACGATTTCGTCAACTTAGTGAGTTTGATAGGGGCCGTATAGTGGGACTTTCTTTTCGGGCAATTGCAGTTAGAGTGCAAAGAAGTGTAGACACTGTGGTTAGGTGTTGTCAGGCATGGCTTCGAGAAGGCCGTACGCAAAGAGCAAGGGGCACTGGACGCCGCCGTAGAACAACAGACCGTGAAGATCGCCGCCTAAGATTATTGGCCTTAAGTGACCGTTTCTCCACTACCAGGTCCATTGCAAATGAATGGTTAGCAGAACACGGAAGACCTATTGGCAGGCGAAGTGTTTACCGACGAATGAGAAGTTTTGGCTTGTTTTCATACCGGCCACACTGGGTCCTCCCTTAAACTCGAGAACACCGACGTAATCGCCTTGAGTGGTGCAGACAACGGTCACTCTGGGATCAGGAATGGAACAGTATTGTCTTTAGTGAGTCTCGATTTTGTTTAGACATGCACGATGGTCGTGCCAGGGTTAGAAGGCGACGTGGTGAAAGGAGGAATCCACAGTTTTTTGTCGAAAGACATGTTCATCACACTGTTGGAGTTATGGTTTGGGGTGCTATAGCTTATGATTCCAGGTCACCTTTAATCTTCATCAGAGGTAACATGAATGCGCAGCGTTATATCCACGAAGTTCTAGAACCCCATCTTTTACCCTATCTTGACACCCTGACAGATCCAACTTTCCAACAAGATAATGCCCGACCACATGTTGCAAGAGTCACAACAGACTTCTTTCAACATAATGATGTCACATTGTTACCATGGCCACCAAGATCTCCCGACTTATCCCCAATTGAGCACGTGTGGGATATGATGGGTAGGAGATTGCTCAATTTGCAACGTCCTCCTCAGACTCTAGAAGCACTTCGAGAGGAGTTGGTGGTTGCCTGGAATGAGATACCACAGGAGGACATTGACCACCTGATCAGAAACATGCCTAGGCGCGTTGGAGAATGCGTAGCACATCAGGTTGCATCCACACCTTATTAAAGGTCAAAGGGCTTTAAAGCAGTGCAATCAATTTGAAATTTTTATCATTTACTTATTATGCTTCATTAAGTACTTATACAAAATTTTATTAAAATAAAACTATTTAAACTGGGTGTTCGGATTTATATGTCACTTAGTATATATTCACATTCGTATATACACAATTCCATAATGTCCACGCTCAAAATGAAACCATTATTGGGGCGTAGAGAATGAACTAACGCTTATTTTCTCTTAATTCAAGGAACGATGTAACATGTTGCTAGCTGGCTTCAGATTTAGGATCGGTAAATTCGGTTTGCAAATATCATCGAAAAACCGAAAATGGCGGAATTTGTTTGTTGCCAGTAATTCCAAAACGGTTAACACACTAATAGTTGGGAATTTGTCCCAAAAGATTTGGCTTGCCCAGAAGTGGATATTGGCGTTACTATTCTATTGAAAATTCAAGCCGTTTATGTGTTTTTATGCCTTACTCAATGTTATTTTCTGACAAATAAATCATGGCCTCCTTAGAAAAAAAATAACATTACGTGTGATGATATTTCGATGATACTTCAATCTTTCATACACTTGTGAGACATCACTAGGCTGGAAATTTGACGCTCTTTTCAAAAATCGAAAAATCCAATATTGCGGCGATAAGAAAAGTGAAAGTTGAGGCGGGTTGCGGGAAAACAAAAGACGATTGAGACGTGACATACACGCTATCTTATTTGCCTTAAAAATTACCGAATAATGTCACATTTTGACAGCTGACAAATTAACCGTTTCGGATTTACTGACAAAGAACTAGGTGGGTAACTTAACAATTTGAAATGAAAGACAAAGTTTTTCTATGACATACGATGATACTTCTATTGAAAATTCAAGCCGTTTATGTGTTTTTATGCCTTACTCAATGTGATTTGTGCACTTGTGAGACATCAGTAGGCTGGAAATTTGACGCTCTTTTCAAAAATCGAAAAATCCAATATTGCAGCGAAAAGAAAAATGAAAGTTCAGGCGGGTTGCGGGAAAACAAAAGACGATTGAGACGTGTCATACACGCTATCTTATTTGCCTTAAAAATGACCGAATAATGTCACATTTTGACAGCTGACAAATTAACCGTTTCGGTTTTACTGGCAAAGAACTAGGTGGGTAACTTAACAACTTGAAATGAAAGAAAACGTTTTTCTATGACATACGATGATACTTCTATTGAAAATTCAAGCTGTTTATGTGTTTTTATGCCTTACTCAATGTTATTTTCTGACAAATAAATCATGGCCTCCTTAGAAAAAAATTAATACACAACATTACGTGTGATGATATTTCGATGATACTTCAATCTTTCATACACTTGTGAGACATCACTAGGCTGGAAATTTGACGCTCTTTTCAAAAATCGAAAAATCCAATATTGCGGCGATAAGAAAAATGAAAGTTGAGGCGGGTTGCGGGAAAACAAAAGACGATTGAGACGTGTCATACACGCTATCTTATTTGCCTTAAAAAATGACCGACTAATGTCACATTTTGACATACGATGACACTTCTATTGAAAATTCAAGCCGTTTATGTGTTTTTATGCCTTACTCAATGTCATTTTCTGACAAATAGGTAAATCATAGCCTCCTTAGAAAAAAATTAATACACAACATCACGTGTGATGATATTTCGATGATACTTCAATCTTTCATGTACTTGTGAGACATCACTAATCTGGAAATTTGACGCGCTTTTCAAAAATCGAAAAATCCAATATTGCGGCGATAAGAAAAATGAAAGTTGAAGCGGGTTGCGGGAAAACAAAAGACGATTGAGACGTGTCATACACGTTATCTGATTTGCCTTAAAAAATGACCGAATAATGTGACATTTTGACAGCTGACTTAACCGTTTCGGATTTACTGGCAAAGAACTAGGTGGGTAACTTAACAATTTGAAATGAAAGACAAAGGCTGGAAATTTGACGCTCTTTTCAAAAATCGAAAAATTCAATATTGCGGCGATAAGAAAAATGAAAGTTGAGGCGGGTTGCGGGAAAACAAAAGACGATTGAGACGTGTCATACATGCTGTCTTGTTTGCCTTAAAAAATTACCGAATAATGTCACATTTTGACAGCTGACAAATTAACCGTTTCGGATTTACTGGCAAAGAACTAGGTGGGTAACTTAACAATTTGAAATGAAAGACAAAGTTTTTCTATGACATACGATGACACTTCTATTGAAAATTCAAGCCGTTTATGTGTTTTTATGCCTTACTCAATGTTATTTTCTGTCAAATAAATCATGGCCTCCTTAGAAAAAAATTAATACACAACATTACGTGTGATGATATTTCGATGATACTTCAATCTTTCATACACTTGTGAGACATCACTAGGCTGGAAATTTGACGCTCTTTTCAAAAATCGAAAAATTCAATATTGCGGCGATAAGAAAAATGAAAGTTGAGGCGGGTTGCGGGAAAACAAAAGACGATTGAGACGTGTCATACACGCTATCTTATTTGCCTTAAAAAATGACCGAATAATGTCACATTTTGACAGCTGACAAATTAACCGTTTCGGATTTACTGGCAAAGAACTAGGTGGGTAACTTAACAATTTGAAATGAAAGACAAAGTTTTTCTATGACATACGATGATACTTCTATTGAAAATTCAAGCCGTTTATGTGTTTGTATGCCTTACTCAATGTCATTTTCTGACAAATAGGTAAATCATGGCCTCCTTAGAAAAAAATTAATACACAACATTACGTGTGATGATAATCCGATGATACGTCAATCTTTCATGCACTTGTGAGACATCACTAGGCTGGAAATTTGACGCTCTTTTCAAAAATCGAAAAATCCAATATTGCGGCGATAAGAAAAATGAAAGTTGAGGCGGGTTGCGGGAAAACAAAAGACGATTGAGACGTGTGATACACGCTATCTTATTTGCCTTAAAAAATGACCGAATAATGTCACATTTTGACAGCTGACAAATTAACCGTTTCGGATTTACTGGCAAAGAACTACGTGGGTAACTTAACAATTTGAAATGAAAGACAAAGTTTTTCTATGACATACGATGACACTTCTATTGAAAATTCAAGCCGTTTATGTGTTTTTATGCCTTACTCAATGTTATTTTCTGACAAATAAATCATGGCCTCCTTAGAAAAAAATTAATACACAACATTACGTGTGATGATATTTCGATGATACTTCAATCTTTCATACACTTGTGAGACATCACTAGGCTGGAAATTTGACGCTCTTTTCAAAAATCGAAAAATCCAATATTGCGGCGATAAGAAAAATGAAAGTCGAGGCGGGTTGCGGGAAAACAAAAGACGATTGAGACGTGACTTACACGCTATCTTATTTGCCTTAAAAACTGACCGAATAATGTCACATTTTGACAGCTGACAAATTAACCGTTCCGAATTTACTGGCAAAGAACTAGGTGGGTTAGGCCCGTATCGTCAGTCGTCCCTACAATAGTAGAGCGCCTTTATGGCCTCCTTGACTGTCATAGTTTTCTGCTTCTCCGTGTCAGAACTTTATTTTGAGGTTATGTCACAAACATCAATTTGCGTCAAATTGTGCTTGCTTTTGAGTTATATCATGTTTTATCAGCCTGAAATTTCCTACACTTTAAAAAGAAAACATATCTTCACAATAGGAGAGCGCTGACGCTGACACGGGACAAGTGTAATCTAGAAATTTTTGAAGGAGGGAAAGCAGGAGGCCATAAACGCGCCCTACAATTGTATGAACGACTGACGATACGGGCCTAACTTGACAATTTGAAATGAAATACAAAGTTTTTCTATGACATACGATGACACTGACTGATGCTAAATATTCGTGCTGGTATCCATGATTATTTCGTGCCATGCATTTCGTTATTATCTGTATTATGTTAGTCGGATTTTATTATAAACTCAAATAGCTTCACAACGATTGAAGATAGGTATGAACTTTATTATATAAAAGTGAAAATCTAAAATTAAAAAATGGTGGTTTCCATTTAAAAATACAAAGATTAACGCAATATCTTATTTTTGGATCACCCTGTATTGTACAACTATAGAAATCAAAATTGACGCGTCCGAGCGTTTTTCCTAAAATATACCAGAAGAGTTGGGGCACCCTGTATATTTCAACCAAAAACACATTAAGTTTCGAGTCAACAAGTTTAATAATTTTCGTGCATTTTAAACACCATTACCTTAATCGTTCATGACTTAAGCGAAGAAGACATATGTAATCATTAAGCACTACTGCAGATAACATTCTTGTACTTACATGTTGCGGCTGCTACTGCGGTGGCCAGAGATAAAGAAAACAGAGATAAACACGAAGTAAACAGTCTACTCATTTTGGTCTTCTCTGCAAAACAGTATTGGCGACTGAAAAGGAATCCGATGTTCCAACGGCTTAACAGACGCAACATAACTGTTCTTTATCATAATGTTTAATCATTATTATTCTTCAGCCCGTTCCGCTTAACTGTACATATTGATGAAGACGTTTTTTGAACCGAATTTCCTCGGAGATTATAACTTGTTATGGCATATCATTTGATAGACTAACAGCTTCTGTACCAATAAAAATATTTAAATGAAATTGCGTTGTGGCAACTTCTTTGTACTGGGACCATTCGCAACTTTCGTAGCTGAACAATGTTTGGATTATAGAAAAAAAATGGCGTCAAGTAAGTTGACTTTCTATGTCCCATCACTGGCTACCGAGATCTCTGGACCTAAGTCCTTTAGCTTACTTTCTTTGGGGGCATTAGAAAAATAAAGTTTTTAGTACGAAGCCAGATTCCACTCAATACAGGGTGTCCCGAAAAAAGTGTGCAATATTCTACCAGCGGGTTCTAGAGCTTAAAATAGGAAGAAAAGTTTATATAAACATAGGTCGACAAACGTCCCCTAACGGCGCTACGGTCTTTTAAAGGGGCTCCCCCGGAGATGGTTTTTCCCTAATATTTCCGAAACGTGTTGCGATAAAGACATAAAATTTGGTATTCTAGACTAGTTTTTTATGCTGGATTTAAAAATATTAACAATTTTGGACAGTTTTGTTTCGAAGCGTATGTAACAGGGACGGACTCAGGTTATTTTAGCGCCAAAATTTTTGTGTGATTCTATTTTTGAAATTCAAGTTTAGAATTTGAAAATTTAGGGTTTTCTACATAAATAAGGTACTCTTATTGAATATCGATAAATTGTGCCATTTTTGAATAAAATCAAACTGAAAAATTTGCCACATGATAGGAAATGTACTGCGAATTTGAATGAATTGTTGATTATACATAGTTAGCCATGACTGCAAACAAAAGTTGTTTTGATTTGTTATGACTTATTTTGACGTTAAACTGACATTGTTAGCAGTGTAAAATTACTAGATTAAAATCAAAATTTTTATTAAATCGATTTAAAATGCCAAGATTTACAGACAGAGAACTGACTGACATGCATTTTGTGTACGGGTTTTGCAATGGCAGTAAGAGAATATCAAAGAAGATTTCCCAATCGCATAGTACCTGGACGTCGAATGTTTACTGATATTCACCGGAATTTGTCAAACCATGGAAGTTTTCAGCGCATGCAGGGCTCAGGAAGGCCACTGGGAATCATCGTATGGATATTGCTTTAAATATGTTTGAAAATAATCCGCAAATAAGCATACGAAATGTTTCAGAAATTATTCAGACAGGTGGTTAGGTCGAGGAGGTCCTATAGCGTGACCGCCACGTTCACCTGACCTAAATCCATTGGATTTCTATTTTTGGGGGTCATTAAAAGACCTAGTTTGCTCGACTGAAGTAAATACTCAAGAAGATTTACTCCAAAGAATCCATCAGGCAGCAAATGAAACAAGAAGAAAAAGGTTTTCCACTTTTCGGGCTACGCAATCATAGTTCGTCGAGCGAGACTCTGTATCCAACAAAATCGGAATTTATTTGAACATTTATTGTAAAGCTAGTTTTAAGTATATCCAACTGTATGTCTTCTTTTTTAAACAAATTTCAATTTCGTTCGTAGAAAAAGTTTATTTCTTTTGTTTTTGCCTAAATGTTAGCTATGTTGCAATAGAAATATGTATTTATGTAATATTTACCAATTATTAAATTAGTTTTTTCGTTGCCATGGCTAATTATTCAACAATTCATTTAAATTCGCAGTACATTTCCTATCATGTGACAAATTTTTTAATTTGATTTTATTCAAAAATTGCACAATTTATCGATATTCAATAAGAGTACCTTTTTATGTAGAAAACCCTAGATTTTCAAATTCTAAAATTGAATTTCAAAAATAGAATCACCCAAAAATTTTGGGGCTAAAATAAATAGTCCGTCCCTGTTACAAACGCTTCCAAACAAAACTGTCTAAAATTGTTAATATTTTTAAATCCAGCATAAAAAACTAGGCTAGAATACCAAATTTTATGTCTTTATCTCAACACGTTTCGGAAATATTAAGGAAAAACCATCTTTAGGGGAGCCCCTTTAAAAGACCGTAGCGCCCTTAGGGGACGTTTGTCGACCTATATTTATATAAACTTTTCTTCCTATTTTAAGCTCTAGAAACCGCTGGTAGAATAGTGCACAGTTTTTTTGGGACACCCTGTATATTCGTCAGCGGATTACGGCTCAAATAAATCAAGACATGCTTAAAAGTGTGAGGTAAATGGACAGCACTTTCAGCACTTATTATCACATTCACTTACCTCTTTATAGCAAATTAATTTTTAAACTATAAGTTGTTTGTTTTTTTTAATACAGAGAGACTTGTTTTTAATTTTGAAGTAAAGTCAATATTGATTATAATTTTTACGATATCATCTCTTATTATCGCAATTCCTAGAATTTCATTATAAACTCAAATAGCTTCACAACGATTGAAGCTAAAGATAAACTTTATTATACAAAAGTTACTAAAAACGTCACGGATAATCTAAAAATTAAAAAACTGGAGGTTTCCATTGAAACATGTGTAATGCAATATCTTATTTTTGGATCACCCTGTATTTTACGGCTATAGATAAGAAGACGTCTCCCTAGAAATCAAAATTATATACCCTGTATATACAACAATAATCTAAGTTCAAGTGGGACATAGAGAGTCAACTTACATGACGCCATTTTTTTCTATAAAGCATGATTACACGTTGGGACATTAATTCGTAAAACTCCAACCTTCTAGCAAAATCGTCTTCATTAAGCTCATGGACAAGTTTTATCTTGTACGGGTGAAACTTATTGTCTTTCAAAATTCTTTGTACTATTGAATGTGTAAATCCTGAAGAAGCGGCCAGTTGACGAGTGCTTTGGGTGTTGTCAAGTGCTATGTGTCCCAAAACTGCTATTTCTGCGCCTTCATTTCTAACTATACTATAACTATCTAAAACTGTAATGACTCATAGATGTTCACGTGAACATCACTTAACTACCAGTAGTCGGCTGTTCATAGGCGGGGTATGAATGTATAACATGGGTGAACTAGATTTGTCACATGCTTAATAAAGAGTGGTTTGAAACATATTGTAAGTCAAAAATTTGGGAATTACCTTTATTCATCGTCGCTTCCACTTACATCTGACAGTAATAAACTGTCGCTATCGCTTTCCTCGTTGAAATTGACTATAACTGGCTCTATGATGGTGTCGATGTGGTGGTCAAGCTGCCACATTTTTGTTTCTTCCTTCACAACATGACGGATAGCATTCTGCCAAGCTTCGGGCGTTACTAGCTGTATGGAAGTCTCAAGTAAAACCTTAACGTCTGGTAATTTGAAGGTTGTGTTATGGCGCGCAATATAACCCTTCACTTGAGCCCAGATGAGCTCTATTGGGTTCAGTTCACAGTGGTAGGGCGGTAACCGCAGCACAGTGACACCACATTGACGGGCCATCTCATCAGTCACGTAACTAATGTTCGCAGGTTTGTGCTGTTTAATTTTTTCATACAATTCCGCTTTCACACATGAATCGTCAAACGGGATTCCTTTTTCGCGCAACCATTGCTGCATGTCACTTTTTCGAGATCCCATAGTCGGTACACGTTCTGCTCGACGACTATGGTAGGAAGCATTATCCATGACGATCACAGAGTTGGGCTCAACTCGCTGAAGCACCCCTTGAAACCAGCTCTCGAAGCAGCTGGCATTCATTTCGTCATGGTAATCACCTCCTTTCTTAGAGACGAAAATCAAGTCACACTCTTCTAAAAAGCCACTATCGCTACCAATATGAGTTACGATCAATCTTTGACCTTTCCCTGACGGTCCACGGAGACCTGTTGACAAACCTTCAATGCTTGCTTGTCGGTTACTCACTACGTTTCTGTCTATCCAGGTTTTTTTAACTGTGTGACATGCATTTACCCATGTCTCGTCCAAATAATAGATTTTTCTGCTTTGTCGCCTATATTCAATCATTTCGCGTAGGTATTTTCGACGCCAGGCGACTATTTCAGGTCTCTCTATCAATACTGACTTCCGATTACGCGTTTCGTAACGAAAATTAATTTCGTGCAGGGATTTCCTCATTACCTCGACGCTCATTTGGGGTATAATTTCATTTTCCTTGATCGCTGCATGTACAGCCTTGAGGGTTGGTATCTCATTCCTAAAGAAGAATGAATGTACGGTTCGCCTTAACGCCATTTTGCTATCGTCATCCAATTTAACGGCCTTTCGTCCCTTCAAATTAAACTTTGGATCAGTAGTAGCTCCAGTTTTCTTCTTTTCATGCACCCCCCTGCGAATGGTCCACTCTGGAACGCCTGTCATACTTTCACAACGCGCGAGTGCATCTCCCTGCGACATAGTTCTGTTCAGATAATTGAACACGTTGAGCACGATATCTTTCGCGTCCCACTTCAGTGCTTTACGAAGCCGTCTACTTGTTCCCTGGCTTTCAGTACTTCCACTCGTGCCATTTGTACTCTCCATGGTTAAGTATAACCAAAACAGTAACCACAGAAACCACAACAATAACAATCACACAACAATTCTTATAAAAACACACAATATGCGATCGCTCAACGAAACACGTTCCAATGCGTTGCCGACGCCTATGAGTCTGCCGGTCGAGGCGCGTCTTTGATTTCATTGGATCTACCGGCGGAGAACAATCAGCCATTATTTCCATCTCTGTCTGTGCTGTTGACCACCGCAAAGCCACAGAAACGACATATGTCGAACGCTATACGGCTGTACTGGAAGGAAGCCGGGATCGAGCTCTGATCACGTGTTGATCACGCGTATGAGTCATTACAGTTTTAAATAGTTGTAGTATAGTCGATTTTCTGGACGGCGATTACGACAGATCCAGATCCAGAAAATCTAGAAACCTAATAAAATTGGGATTTTCATTTAAAAATCTGAAGTGTAACGCAATATCTTATTTTTGGATCACCCTGTATTGTACGGCTACAGATCAAAAGACGTTCCTCTAGAAATCAAAATTGGCTTGCCTGAGCGTTTTTCCCAAAATGTTGGGGAGTCACAAATAGGGCTGCGAGCACATTTTCGTTGGACCACCCTGTAAGTAAATGCATATGAGCATGAGCGCCCGCAATAATTTTTGTCAAGAGGGGATCATATCCAAGAGATAACTTTCTGCGAAAGTGTACCTGCCCTAAAAACTTTTTGAAGAGCGGTTGGTAGCAAATAGGAGGGGGGTTAAATCCTGAAAGCCCAAAATCCAAAATGGTATGTAGTCATGCTAAATACCTAAAAGTGATTTTCTGGTGTGCCACGCCGCCCCTGCGGGCGCCTATGATAGATTTGGAACATACTTCTAAAGCTGAATATGATTTTTTAGATTTTTTATTTTCGTTTATACAGGGTGACTTTGAAGTTGAGTCATTAATTTTCAGATAATGATTGTAGAAGGAAGATAAACCAAAATATGTGTGTAAAAATAAAAAAAAAAAATAAAAAAAAATGTTACCTTGTTTTATAAAGTATCCTCCCGACAAGTATTTCAGTGCGGACCTGTATTTGATCGTGAGGTCTTGGAGCACCGGCATGCCCTCCCCTGTGAGGTCTTAAGTCACCTGATTCACGAGCCCGTTGTACTACATTAACAAAGGCACGAGGGGTTGGTTGAACTCGATTGGGAAACCAATCCGCATAAACATGTGCATTTTTTATTTCGTTTGAGCCACGCAGCAAACACCACTATTCACTCACGCGTTAGCGTCTGACACATTGACTGAATAAAAACATCGTGATCATCGTTTCAAATTCTTTCGCTTTTTTGTTTCCGATGCGATGAACCGATAAGGCGGATTATATCCGTTGTTGCCAAACACGAGCACATAATATTATTATTGAGACAGGGCGGTACTCAAACTTCTAAAGGGCTATAACTTTGTTATTTTAATTTTACCACAAAAATGTTAAAGGAAAAAAACATTTCTTTTGATCAGATCTACTCACTGTTAAAATAAATGACTCAACTTCGAAGTGTAGTAGAGAGAGCGCTTACGGCTTAACACTTCTTTTAACAAAAACTTATAGCACTGCTTTGCTAATTGGAAAAGCGCCATCTATCACACCAGAAGCGACCAATGCCGAAAGCGCATACCTGCAATTAGTTGCACTGTTAAAGATCTCAGTTCACGTTTAATAGCCCAGTCACCATATGACCGCTAGATGGCTGACGAGTTGGCAAGCCATAGACCAAGCCAAGAAGCACGAATTGATGGCTGCCTTCTTGGTCGGAAGGGTGAATGCATCAAGTTTAGTTTTAACAAATAATATTGCTTTCGAGAAAATTTTTGTTTATAACGAAGCAGCCGCGCAGGCAGAAGCCTAAATGCCGGGACACCGCGGCTGCTCTGATGATCAGAAAGAAATGTTGTTAATACGATTTTTGTACTGCCTAAATTTAGTATAACTGAGAAAAGCTTCCTCTTGTAGATTGTTCCACAATCTCGACGCCCTCAGGATAAAGGAGCAGTCGTATCGGCTGGAATGTACGAAGTTCGACACGGTTAGGATGGGACGCCAAAGTCAGGCGGATCTGTCTGGCAGGCACATCGCGCGGCGGCATCATGAAAGATAGCTCTCGTTGGTGCAGCGGTAGAAAAGAACTAGATCGCCGACGGCTCGCTGGTGCGAAAGGGTCCCGAGACTGTTAGAGAAGAGTCGTCGATAAGTCGGACCGCCCTTCTCAGGACCTTGTATAAAGTAAGAAGGTCATGCGGAGAGAAGTACTTCTTAGCCCTAAACAAGTAGCCTAGCTTTTTCCCAGCAGCTGCCGTCTTCTTTTTTCCAGCTCAGCGGCAGAGATCGGCTTGTCATTGTGAATTCCCGCATGTAGAGTGCTGCCCGCGTAGACGTTGTGGGATAAAGAGCAGAACCCGTCAATTACGATGGATATCCTGCGGCCAGAGATAAAGCCAGCCACTCATCTGCAAAGCTTTTCTGGGAGGCCATAGGATTAAACCATAAGACTAGATGAGTTTACACCACAATTGCGTGACGAAAGCTAGGAGGTCCCCTGTGGATCGCTGGTGCCGGAAACCATACTGCCTGTCGCTAATCAAGCTGTGACGTTCGAGGTTGTCCAGAAGCTCGGTATTTATGCACCTCTCCATCACCTTACTTATAACAGAAAACAGAGCTATAAGCCTGTAGTTGTAAGGGTCAGTCTTAGATCGTTTTTTTTGGGATGGGTTGGACACGAGCAAATTTAAAGTTTTCTGGGAAGGTGCCGGATTCATAAGATATCTGGAAGAGACGCGAAAGAAGTGGAGCAAGCTCCGCTTCACATCTCTTCAGTACAATGGCAGGAATCAAGTCCGGGCCAGAAGCTTTGTTGCTTATGCCTGAATGTTACCTCCCGCATAGTTTAGGGACCCATTTGAATTGGCGGCACTTGGGCGTTGGAGAGGACGTCCATGGTGGAGTTGGAGCAAAGATCTTGGCAAGCACTTCCGCCCTGTCCTTTGTGTCGGATACACTCGTTCCATCCTGACACGTAAATGGTGGAAGGTTACTGTGTGAGAAGTTCTTTTCAATCTGCTTGTCCAGCGTCCAGAAAGACCGACTGCCATTGCGCTGCGAAATTACCGTGTGCCTAACTTTTAAAGAAGGTTCTGTGTGCCTTGATCTTCTGCTGGCGAGCAGTGTCACACGATTTGTTAAACCAGCCGTTGGACCCCGGTTTAGACACTTTCATTCTGTCAGGGATGTATTTCTCCGTTCCGATGTGGATAATTTCGGTTATCGAAGAACAGATAGCCGACGGATCCGCGTCAGTGAAACAGACATCTCTCCAAGGAAAGGTAGAGAAGAAGTCTCTGAGCCCCTTCCAGTCGGCATATCCGTAATGCCAAGTTTTGCGGCCTGTACGAGTTTCTGCTGCCACAGCGGCTTCTGACCGAAACCTAACCTCCACAACACCGTGGTCCGAGTTACCCAGGGGGGACAAGGCAGCAGTGCTGTAAGGGATAGGCAGCGTGGTCAGAAAGAGATCCAGCAGGCTACCGGCGTGTCACGCGGGGGAAAAAGTAGGGCTGGTCACCAGCTGGGTCAGCCATTGAGTAAGAGCGAACGCTTCGACTGCACGACCTGCTGCATCGGTCTTGTTTGAGCCCAACCAAAGCTCATTATGGGCATTGAAATCACCGTGAAGAACTACCTCTGAAGCGGGGTGATTGATGTTCCGGCAGTCGATCTGGACGGCGAGGTATTCGAGTAGGTCATCCCAGTGATGGTCCGAGGGAGAGCGATAAAGGCAGCAAACAAATTTGGCTGATGTTTTGGAGTTGAGGCGAAGCCACAGAATGTCCTTCCGGTTTGATTCCAAAGAAACATTACTGGAGCAGGAAAGACTGCTGCGGACAAAAGCCCCAACTCCCCCGTTCTTTCTCAGATTGGAGTGCACCTCGTACTTTGGGAAGCTAAGATGGTTAATCGGTGAAAACGCTGAGATTTTTGTCTCCGCCAAGAAAAGCATGGCGGGTTGATTGGATTGCAGGTAGTGACGAACAACATCAATGTTGCTGTTAATCCCGCAGTTGTTGGTGAAACAAATTTTATCTTCGATCTTGTTCCCTCGAGCACACCCTCCACTCTGACATTCCAAATAAAACTAAAACGAGTGTGGTGTAGTTTATTCATTTCTGATTCATATACAACCGTATACTGAGATTGTACGACATAGCTAACATCTACTTATACAATGTAACTTTGGTTATAGGTGTAGTTAAGTAAAATTACTTACAATATATAGCGAAATACATAACAGGGCCTTACTGACTAGAAGACTGGCACAGCTCGACTTTTCTTTCCCTGAAAATAAATATAAGTTTGATTCATAAAAGAACTTTTGTTATACTACTCAATAGTGTCCGACCGAAACTAACGGGTGATTTTTTAAGAGGTATAGGATTTGATTTAAAAAAAACACAAAAAATTTGAAAAAACGATTAAATCTTTATTTGAGTCGATAGAACGGTCGATATAATTTAATGTTTAAAGATTATTTCATGTAAATGTTGGCCGCGGCTCCGCTTTAGATGACCCATGCGCAAGGTCCAATTTTGACACACATATCGGCCGGTATCTCACGAATAAATGCTTCAATATTAGCTTCCAGTGCATCAATCGTTGCTGGTTTATCCCTGTAGACATTAGCCTTAACATGGCCCCACAAGAAATAGTCCAACGGTGTTAAATCACACGATCTAGGCGGCCAATTGACGGGCCCCAAACGTGAGATAAACTGTTCACCGAACTCGCCTCTCAATAGGGCCATTGTTTCGTGTGCGGTGTGGCATGTGGCACCGTCTTGTTGAAACCACATGTCAGCCAAGTCCAGCTCTTCCATTTTGGGCAAAAAAAAGTTTGTTATAATCGCACGGTAGCGCTCGCCATTCACAGTTACGTTCCGGCCATTGTCGTCTCTGAAGAAGTACGGCCCGATGATGCCACCGGCCCATAATCCACACCAAACTGTGATTTTTTCGGGATGCATCGGTAGCTCTTGCAATGCTTCTGGCTGGTCTTCACTCCAGATGCGGCAATTTTGCTTGTTAACTTACCCAGTCAACCAGAAATGAGCTTCGTCGCTGAAGACAATTTTTCGATGAAAATGTGGATCTTCCTCCAACTTTACCAGCGCCCATTCACCAAATGGGAAACGTTGAGGGAGGTTGTGTGGCTTCAATTCTTGCACCAGCTGTATCTTATAAGGTTTTACACCCAAATCCTGTCGCAAAATGTTCCACGTAGTGGAGTAACAGAGGCCCAATTGCTGCGAACGGCGGCGAATCGACATTTCACGGTCATCACTAACACTGGCGGATACAGCCGCAATATTTTCTTCAGTCCTCACTCTACGTCTGCGTGTTGGTGGTTTAATGTCCAATAATGTAAACTGGGTTCGAAATTTAGTCACAAGCTTCCGAATAGCTCCCTCAGTAGGCCGACCAAATTGCCCATAAATTGGAAGCAGTGCTCGATGCACTCTCTTAACCGAGCATGAATTTTGCTAGTAAAATTCAATAATTTGCAAGCGTTGTTCGTTCGTAAGTCGATTCAAGGTTAAATTATAGACCAAACTGAACAAGTTCGACAATGACACAAGACACGATTCACGCGTCATCTGTCAAAAACAGTGTTGCCAAAAAGATACTAGCAAAAATATCACCCTTTAGTATTTCAGACGTAACCGAAAGCGAAACTTCCAACCAAGGAGTATGATATGAGAGGTTGGGAGGTAAGATAGTAGTGTATCTAAAAATAAAAAAAACAAACTCTGTCTTTATCAATGAAGGCGGCTCCAAGCCATGCACAAGGGTTCACCTGCTTCGAAACTGATACTCCATTTTTCCATATTTTTGAATGAAATTCATAGAGTATGTTCAGAAGACAATTGCCCAGGGTGCTATCGGAGTACTTTTTGGAATTTTGTTTTTGCACAAGATTTATGGTGGTGAAGTGCTCACTTTTTTTGTTGAACTGAATTTTATTGAATAGAACCTAGTGGAAAAAATGAAAAAGTGGCAAATCTCTACAAATCGGATTTTGCACGAATTTTGTCTATTATTACGTAAATGTAACTTCTGAACTTATGCCCCAGTTGTCTGTCTGGTCTATCTATCTTACACTGGCCAATAAATGAAACCTAAGATGGTAATGGATTTTTAGATAGATTTAGATAGATAGATTTCTCTGTCTGTTTTTTTTATACTCCAACTACCACGAAGGCCTAAACACCCATTGGGTGGGGCTATAGGGAAAGGGGGAACGCCACACGGACTCTGGCGAGGGAACACGTGTGCATGCAACATGCTCTCTCTGGCTCCGCCTACGAGATCCGCCGGGTGGTACCTCCGCGACCGAAGAATCTACTACTGCGGCCACCGCTGCTGCCTTATATATACTAAGTGATATATAAATCCGAACACCCAGTTTAAATGGTTTTATTTTAATAAAAGTTGGTGAATGTATTTATCTTACTGTAAATAACAAGTGAACAAATTTTAAGCCTTATCAGTTGGACATTCCGGTTTTTATACTGCTTTTTTTTAATTCACTAACGCTCTAAAAATGAATATTTCAGCCGCAGTAAAGAATCAACTTTGGCGGATTTTGGTTCTTGACATCCTTTACGATCGGTTACGATGCCTAGAGTACGGAGACCTGTACGATTTCGTCAACTTAGTGAGTTTGATAGGGGCCGTATAGTGAGACTTCGGGAAGCTGGACTTTCTTTTCGGGTAATTGCAGTTAGAGTGCAAAGAAGTGTAGACACTGTGGTTAGGTGTTGTCAGGCATGGCTTCGAGAAGGCAGTAAGCAAAGAGCAAGGGGCACTGGACGCCGCCGTAGAACAACAGACCGTGAAGATCGCCACTTAAGATTATTGGCCTTAAGGGACCGTTTCTTCACTACCAGGTCAATTGCAAATGAATGGTTTGCAGAACACGGAAGACCTATTGGCATGCGAAGTGTTTACCGACGAATGAGAAGTTTTGGCTTGTTTTCATACCGGCCACACTGGGTCCTCCCTTTAACTCGAGGACACCGACGTAATCGCCTTGAGTGGTGCAGACAACGGTCATTCTGGGATCAGGAATGGAACAGTATTGTCTTTAGTGACGAGTCTCGATTTTGTTTAGGCATGCACGTTGGTCGTGCCAGGGTTAGAAGGCGACGTGGTGAAAGGAGGAATCCACAGTTTTTTGTTGAAAGACATGATCATCACACTGTTGGAGTTATGGTTTGGGGTGCTATAGCTTATGGTTCCAGGTCACCTTTAATCTTTATCAGAGGTAACATGAACGCGCAGCGTTATATCCACGAAGTTCTAGAACCCCATCTTTTACCCTATCTTGACACCCAACTTTCCATCAAGATAATGCCCGACCACATGTTGCAAGAGTCACAATAGACTTCTTTCAACATAATGATGTCACATGGCCACCAAGATCTCCCGACTTATCCCCAATTGAGCACGTGTGGGATATGATGGGTAGGAGATTGCTCAATTTGCAACGTCCTCCACAGACTCTAGAAGCACTTCGAGAAGAGTTGGTGGTTGCCTGGAATGAGATAACACAGGAGGACATTGACCACCTGATCAGAAGCATGCCTAGGCGCGTTGAAGAATGCGTAGCACATCAGGGTGCATCCACACATTATTAAAGGTCAAAGGGCTTTAAAGCAGTGCAATCATTTTGAAATTTTTATCATTTACTTATTATGCTTCATTAAGTACTTATACAAAATTTTATTAAAATAAAACCATTTAAACTGGGTGTTCGGATTTATATGTCACTTAGTATATATAGACAAGAAAAGTTGTTCAACTGCTTTTCTCTTTGGCGCTGAGTATACGACGCGTTACGCTGCACCTAATTATTTTTTTATTTCGTTACTAACATTTGATGGCACGACCTTTGCAAACTGTTGTCGCGTTTTGCGTACTTGCACATACATAATATTAGCTTTAAGTTTAAGAATTGCGGTTTGGTACACATATTACATGATTATTTTACAATTTCAAGGTCTGTTTTGTTAGATATTTTGCATATAAAAAATATGCACGTGCAGTCCGCATATGAAGCTATGAATTATTGACAGACTATTCCGTTAGAAATGTTAGGCTCGTCGCCAAGTTATTTAAATATGCACCGTTCATTGTCATATCATTTGTGTTTGTTGATACTTCTACTCTCAATACGCGGAATTTTTATTGCAATACCTCTACACTGGCGCTTCTGAACGAGCTATATTTTTATCGCATTAAGGCGGCTCCGGTGCAGTGAGTTTCAAGCCATTTACAAGGGTTCAGCTGCTTCAAAACTGACACTCCATTTTTCAATATTTTTGAATGAAATACAGTATGTTGAGAAGATAATTGCCCAGGGTGCTATAGGAGCACTTTTTGAAATTTTGTTTTTGCACAAGTTTTATGATGGGTTGAAGTGCGTACTTTTTCTGTTCAGCTTCGCGATTTTTTTAAAAAGAACCTAGTGAAAAAAATGAAAAAGTGGCTCTATAGCACTCTGTGGGGTTTTGTTTTCAGCACTCTGTGAAAATTTCATCCAAAAATATCAAAAAATAAAGCGTCAATTTCGAAGCTCTACAAATCGTATTTTTTGGTGGCCATATTTCGTATAATATCGCGTAGATAAGTCGTTCTGCAAATAGGTATACTTTATCTGAAGTCACTTGAAATAGCATAAAAACCTTTGGTCGGCGCGTGCTTTGTAATTTCATGACGTATCATAGGCGTGCGGTCATTTATTTAGAACGATAATAATAATGTTTTTATATCACAATAAATGGATTTTACTATCTTCTTATTTTTTTGATTTGGGATAAAAAATACTTATATTGGGAGTTTAATTTATGTTGACTGAAAGTTAAGAAATGAAAAAATTACAGAATTCCAACGTTTGACATAGGCAAATATTTACATAGCAGGTAGGTATATAAAAAGGTATATAAAGACTTACATTATAGGTATTTATATATCATCCTCGCCTTCGGAGCTGTCGCTAGAGTCATCTTGTAGAGGATTTACAACGGGATTTACAGGAGGCAAAACACAATATTCATTTTCTTTTTCAATAATATGCCTAGAACACTGCTTCCATATGTCTGTGGCAACAATATGAGATACTGCATCTCTTATTGTGGCCAATAGCGATTCACTTAATTGAGGGGTCTGATTATGTTTTCTTACTTTTTTTTTAAAGCAGCCCAGACCAACTCAATCGGGTTAAAAATGCAGTAATAGGGAGGTAGACGTAATACTTCATGGCCATTTTGCTGAAGCAGA